CGCTGCCCAACCTGCCCTCGTTTGGGAGTCCCTGACTCCACCTCTGCTCAGCCAGAGGGACCCACCAGCTCCGGCCCAAAGCTCTCTCCCAGCAGTGCCTCAGCCCCTCACCCTCTGAGTCCTGAGATCCTGAGTGCCTCCACCCCGTGCTGTGGCTCCAGCTCCCTGGTAAGAGGTGAGCACTCGAGTCACAGGCTGGTCTCACACCGCCAGCCCTCGGATCAGGCCACAGTCACCACCACCTGAGACCATCACCCAACACAGGGGCCACTCAACCACCCCCTTCTGCCCATCTTGGGCCCCAGTGGTCCCGTGGTAAACCTGGTCCTGATGGGACTTGGTCAACTGGAGAGTAACCCCCCAGCAGCAGGGATCACCAAGCCCGAGGGGGGACCTCAGGCAGGGTGTGCGTTGGCAGCAAGAGCCCCAAGAACTGAGACCCCAAGGTCCCTGTGGGCCCCAGCCCTCACTCTGCCTGCTGGTTCCCCTTCCCTACTGCCTGAGGACCTTCAACTCCAGGGAGCCCACTCTCCCCTGTCCCTCCCACAGACCCACACCCGCTGTATAGGACCCAGCCTCCCTGTTGCTAACCTTGGTCCCCAGGGCTGCTAAGATAGGGACAGGGGCCTTCCCTCTGGGATGCCAGCCCCAGGCCCACTCCTGAGGCCCCAGGGATCAGGGTCCACACATCAAGGAAGGTCCTGATTAAGCCAACCTCCCAAGACCAAATCTGCTCCCAGGACCATGGACCCTGAGGTGAGTGGGCCCAGCACCAAGAAAGGCTCACAAGAAAGCTGCGGCCTTCCCACCCACGTGGTAGACCCAGGGATGGGGCAAGGCCAAGGGCATGTGGGGCACTGGACCACTGGCTGGAGGGGCGTGGGTGAGCAGGGACACGAGCAGCCGTTAGTTCTCTCTTTATATAGACTCTGGTTCTAGAAACAGTTCACCTGTGGCTGGCCGGCCGGGGCCAGCACACCAACAGGGCGGGGCAGGGGTGGACTATTTACAGGCCCATTGCAGGGCTGTACCATGGCCGCGACCCGGCACGGCACTCAGCCATGACACAACAATAAGTTAGAGCCAGCCGGGCAGGGCGGGGCGGGGGCTGTACACACAAGTGCTGGGGGCTCAGGGCCTCAATACTGTCGAGGGCCGGGGCTGTAAACATGGCCGGGGCGGCCCTGCCCACCCCTAGTGGTCTGTAATGACTGGAAGCAGAGCAGCCCAGGCAGGGCCAGGAAGGTCAGGCGTCCGACAGGCAGCTCTGGATCCGGTCCACCCATTGCTGGGCCGAGGGTACATCCTGGGCACAGAAGTTGTAAACGCGACGCGTGGTCTTCACCTGGGAAAGGGTGGTGGCTGACTCCACGGCCGCTGCCACTGTGGAGTCCTCCCTCCCACCTCCCAAGCCCGGGCAGAGGCTCACGTCAAAGAAGGCCTTCTCGTCCACAGTCTTAGGGGCACCCATGGTGGGCGTGCCAGGTGCCACAGCCTCCACCTCCGCCAAGTCGATGACACCTTTGCACTGGGTGTCTACTCGGTGGTCATAGTAGCGCAGCTGGGGGGCGGGGGGTGTCACAGTCAGGGTGGCCTGTCCCCGCCAGGCTCCTCCCGCCACTCTTCACTCACCTGGTGCTTGGTCTTGTCTAGCACGAACCAGCGGGCCTTCCAGGGCTTCATAAAGGCCCCCTTCTTGTACAGGGTGCCCTCGTAGGACCTGCATTGGCAGCAGAACCAGGGCCAGGCTGGCTGTCAGGGTCCAGCTAAGCCTAGGCCCCAGCAGTTGCCCCCACCTGGGTAAGACCAGGGCCCTCATCCTACAAAACTGGCCCAGAAGGGGGACTATCTTCAGAAAAGAGATGGAGGATCCTCCCACAACACCAGTCTTGGGGTCTCAAGGAAGCAGCCACACACAGGGTAACAGCAAAGGGGCACCCGAGGCACAAGGGGTGGGATGGATTCTGCAGGGCTTCAACCTCGTCTGGTCCCTGCCCCCAGCCCTCAAGTCTATGGATCTACATCTCAAGCCCCTTAGCCTTGGGCCACCACATGGTTTCCCCCTAAGACCTTCCACCCAAAGAAGTAACTCCTCAAAGGCATCCCTGGGATCCCAGGCCCCAGCTCCCACTGCCTCTCAGACCTGTTCTCACTCTCGGCCGTCTGGAACTGGCTGTACAGGGTGCTGGTGCTGCGGCGGGCAGCTTGGCGGGAGCTGGACGTGGTGGAGCCACTGCTCTGGTCACTGTCCAGGCTGAGGCTCAGGGTGGAACCCACAGGCCCCTCCTGTAGGTATACGCCCAGCGAGCGGCGGTGGTGGGGCACGCTGGACACAAGTAAAGAGCTGGGGGTGCCCTGGAGATAGGAGAGGGGTTTGCAAGAGGACTAGGCGGCCTCCGCCACCTGCACATGCCCCCTCCCCCCAGCCCCCCATGCCCACTCCTGCTCACACGTCCATGTATCCGGCCTTCCAGGCGCTGCGCAGCCTTCACTCGGTCCCAGGTGTCCTTCCAGCGCTCCGGGGGTCGACCCAACTCTGTCTCCAGCCGCTGCAGTTCCTGGGCAGAATCAGTAAACAAAGTGTTTTTCAGAAAAAAGAAAAAAAAAATCCAGATTGGAGTATGAGAAGACAAAAGGAAGGGAAAATACAGAAAAGAAATACAGTAGTAAGACCCTCTTTCAAAATTTAAAAATAAAGAGGGCTGAGGAGGTAGGTAGCTCAGTAGTGGTAAACTGCCCCTGGGTTAAATTCCCAGTACAAAAAAAAAGTAAAGAATGAAAAAATTTTCAAACCAGACATATTCCTCACCATTGCAAATGAATGAATGAATGAATGTTACAAAAAGAAAACAGACGTATCAATATATCAGAAGCACTTCAGACCCCAAACAACACAGGTTGGACACACACCAACCAGGGAGCCACAGAAAAGTAGGGATGGGGATGTAGCTCAGTGGTAAAGTGATAGTCTAGCATGAGTGAAGCCCTAGATTTGACCTTTAACACTGCAAAAAATTTAAAACAATTTTTTTTAATGGAAACTTTAGAACTTTACAGTAAAATATACAAGATGAAAATTTCCTTAGACGGACTTTAGAATACTAAACATAAGAGTAATGAACTTGAAGATAATGGTAAAAGAAATCACTCAAAAGGAACTGCATAGAGGAAAAAAAACAAGATGAAAGTAAAAAAAGAAATGGCAAGAAAATGACCATCTCACAGATCAGAGAAGCTTACCAAGCCTCAAAACAGGGTAAACACAAAGAAAAACCACACAATGGCCAAACTGCTGCAACCAAAGATAAAGAAAAAACCTTCAAGGAGAAAGGAGACAGCTCAGCTCAGGGGTCAGCTCACAGGGACAGCTGTGGGGAACAACTGAGCACTGATTGCTGCTCGAGGCAAGGTGGGCCAAAGAGGGCTTTCTAGACCTCCGGAGCCCTTTAACAAAACAGTGGGGGCTAGAGATGTGGCTCAAGTGGTAGCGCGCTTGCCTGGCATGCGTGCGGCCCGGGTTCGATCCTCAGCACCACATACAAACAAAGATGTTGTGTCCGCCGAAAACTAAAAAATAAATAAAAAATTCTCTCTCTCTCTCTCTCTCTCTCTTAAAAAACAAAACAAAACAGTGGGCGCCAGGCATGGTGGCCAGGCCTGTAATCCCAGCCTCTTGGGAGTCTGAGACAGGAGAACTCCAAGTTCAAGGCCAGCCTCAGAAACTTAGCAAGGCTCTGTCTCACACTAGAAATAAAAAGGGCTGGGGACGTGGCTCAGTGATCAAGCACCGTAACTCTCCCTGCCACACACACACAGAGAACAGAGGAAGGAAGGCACAATGAAGATGTTTTCAGATTAACAGAAGCTGAGGGAATTTTATGACCAGCAGACCTTCGGTCAAGAGGTAAAATCCTGGGCTGGGGTTGTGGCTCAGTGGCAGAGCACTCGCTTAACACACGTGAAGCCCTGGGTCCGATCCTCAGCACCACATAAAAAAATAAATAAAGGTATTGTGTCCAATTACAACTAAAACAAAAAAAAGAATAGTGAATATTGGAAATGGCAGAAATAGGAAGCTTTTTTCCTCTTAATTTCTTTTTTTTTTAATTTCTTTTTTAGTTTTTAGGTGGACACAATATCTTTTTATTTTTATGTGGTGCTGAGGATCGAGTCCAGTGCCCCATGCATGCCAAGCTGGCACTCCACCACTGAGCCACAACCTCAGCCCTCCTTAATTTCTTTAAAATATAAAGTCGACTAAAACAAAAATAACAATTATGCCATAAAATAGCTAAGTGGCTCTAATGACGTCAGATCAAACTGACTCTAAGACACTCAGGACTGCCCCAAATAAAGAGGAACTCTATCCTGTTCTCAGGCTTATGGGTCACATTCACTCCAAAACTGACTCCATGAGCCCTGAGTACAGAGGTACCGTGGACCCGGCTCCACACCGGGTCACCACATGACTGAGCAGGCCCACCTCACCACCTCTCATTGCCAGACAGGCATCCCCACTTCCTGAGGAAACCAACTCTGAGTTACTCAAATCTCCAAGGCCACACAGCCACCACGGGGGAATGGGTACACGTCCCCCTGGTCAGGATCAGAGGCCACCCCTTGATTGCTCAGGCCCTCTGAAGGACCACCTAGGGAGCCAGAACCACACGCAGGACATGCTGTCACTGCACTGCCCGGGGAAGCACACATCACCCAGCTCGC